GCTGCCTGTTCCAGCTACCCCGGCCTGCTGATCATCCCTCAGAACATCCCAGACTCCACCATCCATCGAATCTGCCGCTGCTATCGACAGAATCGCTTCCCTGTGGTGTGCTGGAGGCATTCACGAACCAAGGCTGTCCTGCTGCGCTCAGCAGGCCTTCATGCTAAAGGAGTCGTGAGCTTCTTCAAAGCCCCCAACGCTCCCACCGGAGGTAGACGTTCAGTCAGGCTGACTCCACATTGGACAGGGAATGTGACCTTACGTGCAGCTTGTGGGGCATTTTGTTGGTCTCCTTGTATTCCTCACAGGTCCTGTTTAACTCTTTAGGACTTCACAAGCCAGAGATCCAGAAACAAGATTTTTTTCTGTTAAATCTTCTTAATATGTATAAAAAACAACAGCATGGGAGAAAAATAAACTTCTTTTGTCAGTCAGTATAATATGTAGAGTTTCTGTTGCTACAGCTGATCTGTTTGGTCTTGAGTTTGAAGAAGCGAGTTCAGCCCAGCCTGAAGTTTTGTTTTCTTCAGTTCAATCTCAGGCAGACTCACCCAGTCTGGAGCAGGAGAAATACCTGCAGGCCATCATCAGCTCCATGCCATCTTACAGCGAGAGCAGTGGCAGGAACACGCTGAGTGGCTTCACGTCTACACACATGAATACGTCTGGTCAGTACACACACACACACACACACACACACACTGAGTGCATGTTGCTATTTAACGAGTATCTCACTGGGCTGCAGTTATTGGCAACAGGCCTGGAACAGCGTTCTCAGTTTACTCTGGACTCACTCTCAGTCTGCCTCTTGAATTTTACACGTTCTAAAAAGTTGCAACAATTTTTTTAACACGCCTGTTGAAGGTGGACATCTTTAATGAAACGACGCACGCACATTTGTACCACCACTAGACATCCGTCATCTTTACCCACTTCTTCTTTTTTAACTCGCGGGGGTCGCTGGTGCCCATGTCCAGCAGTCACTGTGCGAGGGGCGGGGGACACCCTGCACAAGTCTCCAGTCCATCACAGAGACACACGGAGACAAACAACCATTCACTCTCTCACTCACACCTAGGGACAATTTAGAGTTACCAACCCCGGGTCGGGATTCAATCCGGCGACCTTTTCGCTGAGCAGCAGCAGCTCTACCAACTGCACCACTAGATAGCAAGCTTTTCTTAACCCCAGCGTTAAGGTCAAGGTCACAAATCAAGGTCAAGTTATACAAGGTCCTTGCTTATCCAGGCCATTGCTATAGGTTGCTGTAAAACAGTTTGTCCACGGGCATGAGGTATTCTAGTCTTGCCTTCAAATAGTCTCAGAGTCGTGGTGGACGTCTCACTCCATGGATGAATGCATTGCTTGGACTTGAAAACCAGACCATGCTGACTGTATCTGTGGGGGAAACAACATCCCATAATGTCAGCCACAGTGCAGAGCTTTGATTCAGCTTTAAATGAGGTTTCCTTCCTGCGCTCTCGTTTTGACTCCTGTCCCACAGGCTGAACGTTTGATGCCACACAGGCCTCGCAACCCCCCCTCACTTTAAAAACCAGTTCAGTTCTTGTTGTTTCACCAGTTGTTTCTTTAACTTGCTGTATCAGTGGGAAAATGATGATTGGTGTCATTGTACTGTGGCTGATTGAGCGGTAACTGGTCCGTGATGCACCCACACCACACTGACCTAGTTTGTTTATTTTCACCAACATCTGCAGTCGTACACAGACTGTCAGGAAGAAGCTGCTGGCAGTGAAAGCACACCTTCTGTTTTTAGGCACACATAAATGTTTTAGGAGCTTATTGACTCTTTTAATAAAACTTGTTTTTTATTTGTGTTCTGTCCTGAGATCCAAGCTGCAGAAATCATTCAGAGCTAAAGCCCCAAATGCTCCGTTCTAACAACGTCAATTATAAATAAAAGGTCCAAAACAGTTCATCTTCATTTCACAAGTGTTCTGTTTAATATAAACATGAAGCATGTGGGTGGTGGTGCCACGGTTGTTTTCAGAACTCAGCTGCATGACCTGCTGCTCACACTCAGAATCAGAGACTACAACTGAGACGTGAGTCTTGTCAGCTAGCCTCCAACAGCTAGGTACTAACGTTAGACGGGTCTGACTGCTGGGTCTCCAGGGTCACACACCTGATAGGTTCTTCTGTCCTCAGACTCATCAGACAAGCTGCGACAGCCCAAGGTTGTGGATCTGATGAAACAGGTGCTGGGCAACAGGGAAGATGTTCCTGGAACCTTCAGCAGAGGAGGTGAGACGTAGCTGTGTTTCCATGTTGGCTACAGACCATAGACATCTTGGCTTCACAGCAACGTGTGAATCCTACTTTAGAACGATTAGGAGCGAGCACGGTGGTGATGAATCAGCGAATGCTCTCATGTTTCTGTTTGTGGGAGTTAACGAGTGAAATAAACCCTTTGCTGTGTAGAGCTGTTGGGTAACAAGCCATCTCTGTCGTTTGACCTCAGCTCTGGGTCAAAAGGCGAAAGTCACCTCCCTCTCTCAGTCCAAAGTGTCTGGTAAAGCCAGGAACCCTCATAGAGGTACAGTAGGCCACGCCCCCAATTCTTTCCTTCACTCCTGTCTAACCAATCAGATGTCTATAACAGTAACTCAGTGTTTGGCATTAGGGCTGCGCCGTATTAGAAAAGCTTGTGATGTGTGGTATTTAACATTGTAATGACTGTATCAATCGATAAAGCCACATTTTCTTCACTAATAACCTTCTCTTCTGTCACCACTTTAACTCAGCTGTGGACATCAAGCCCTGTGAGAGTCTGTTGGACTGGTCCTGCTATTAGCATGCAGAACATTAATGTGGTCTGAATCATTGTGGTCCAAACAGCTCTTTGCAGTGTTGATGTTGCACTCACTGATATATTTGCTGTATATTGTGCAGTCCTATTTGGCACCGTGTTTGGAAAGCACTCTCTGCAGTCTGCTTGTGATTACTGTGTGCATGCTGCTGCAGCAGCTGGGCTGTCTCATGTCTTGTGGGGTGTTTCTGTTTGATTCTTTGTCAACAATAATCATCCTAACTTCATAGTTACATGTAGAAAAATGATCTGGGTCCGTTTAACTCACTTCAGCACTGATTTTACCCGTCTGTCTGCTGATGTGACGAGTGTGCCGACATACACGTTCCAAGGCTCATTCAGCGTCCAGTCAACTCTGAAGTAATGTTCTGTCCAGATGTGTCCAGCTGTTATCCCCTGATAACTGTTAGAACATCACCTCAGTGTTGAGTGGACTATCCCTAAAGTAAACCAACTTGAATGAACCTTTTTGAGCCTTCAACACAAGGTTTGTTCATGCTGCTTTTTACATCCTGATTTGTTTGAAGACGTGCGTGCGTCTCTGTGTGTGTGTGTGCACGTTGCAGGTAAATGGGGCAGTATCCGGGGCAGCGGGCGTCTAAGTGCCTACAACCCAGAAGTGGGGACGCGCCTCGCCGGGAAAGAATCTCCGCAACCCAATGGGGGGTTTAGTGAGCAGTTGTTTCTCCGCCAGCAGAAAGCCTACCTGTACATTATCGGGGACAAGGCCCAGCTCAAGGTGACCAGAGAGATACTACAAAACATCATCGTTACTTCCATCAGCTTTTTCTGACCACGCAGAGCCTTTATCAGCTCCTCTCTGAACTCCACAACATTCTTCCTTCCTCAGCTTCCACCATTTGGTCTTCTCTTTTCCTCCTCACCTGCTGCTTAGTTTTACAGCTCTGACTGCTGTCCATCACATCACGCACCCATGTTTGTGGTTATTAACAAACTCAGCTGAGGGCTAGTTGTACCTAAAGTGTGATTAAAGAAGGAATGTGAGCTAAAACAATGAATCTGCTTCGTGTCCTGATGGGACTGCTGTGCTGTTGTCAGGGAGGAAAGCAGGAGTCGTTCCAGCAGTGGGAGGTGATCCCCATCGAGGTGTGTGACGTCCGGCAGGTGAAGAACAGCTTCAAGAAGCTGGTGAAAGCCTGTGTGCCCAGTTCTCCCGCCAGTGACCCCAGCTCGAGCTTCCTGCGCCTCCTGGAGGACTCCGAGTGGATGGCTCTGGTCAGCACTTGTTTTTACAGCACGGTTATCTCACGCCGCTGAAGGCACATGTTCATTTGTTGTCTGTTGACGAATTAGTTCATGGACCACTGGATGAATTTAAATGAAACCCTCAGAAAGTACCGTATTTTTCGCTGTATAATTCGCAGTTTGTTGCATAATTTACATGCCTTGCGACTTATTCGCTGAAGCAAAGTATTTATGGATTTTTCCCACATTTATAAAACAATTTTTGTCTGAGATATGACCCTTTTCATTCAGTCTGACATTTAAAATATTGAACACTACCATTTTCAGCCGCTAGATGACACTCCGGTCGTATGGCATGCCATTGTGTCATGTAATAGGTAAAAGTGGCTGTTAATGACACAATCGGCTCTCCTGGAGCAACCGTCAAATCAGCTTCATTTCGCTGTGCCGCCCCGGCAAAATGCAGCTAATTTGACCATTGACGTGAATTTATGAAGTAAAAGTTGGACTGAGACACAACTTTACTATAAAGTCAAGCAAATAAATAATTGTTTTTAAGTGGTTATCTTGTTAAATTCTTGTTAAAATCCTCCCATGCTCCCGCAGCCGCCATTTGGCAGCCAATGGATTTTTTGGCACAACACCAGCCCACATTTCCAGGCTGTCAGCGGTGACTCGTAATGATGTGACGTATTTATGGATTTTTCCACTTTATTAGACATATTTAAACTGATGCAACTATAGGGCGGTGTGACGGGTACGGGGAAAATACGGTAACCCCTGGATGTTACTAACTCAATGAGGTCTACAGATATTGAGCTAAAATTTGATTTGGTAGTAAATGAGTCCAACAATGTTCAGTCAGGTCGTCTGAACGTTTTTTTTTTAAGTCCAGTCATCCAGATGACCTGAGCATTGTTGGATTTTATACCTGGATTATTGAGCATGAACTTTGGTGTAGTACATGAATCTTTCTCGTCCAGTACCCTGAGTGATTTAAATGTACGTTTTTCCATGTTGTGACTGTGTATCCAGCTACACAAGGTGCTGCAGGTGTCGGTGCTAGTGGTGGAGCTTCTGGACACGGGCTCGTCAGTCATGGTCAGCCTAGAGGACGGCTGGGACGTCACCACACAGGTTGGACTGAAAGACACAAACTGTGGAATTTAAGACACTTGTTGCCCTTTGCAGAGCCCAGCGGTCATGGTGGAGTTTGTCTCTGTGTGTAGGTGGTGTCCCTCGTGCAGCTGCTGTGTGATCCCTACTACAGAACCTTTGATGGTTTCCGGCTGCTGGTGGAGAAGGAGTGGCTGTCGTTTGGTCACAGGTTCAGTCACCGTGGAGCTCAGACGCTGGGCAGCCAGAGCAGCGGCTTCACCCCCATCTTCCTGCAGTTCCTGGACTGCGTCCACCAGGTGAGTCCAGCTGTTCTCAGGTCACCTTGTTCACATCACACCAGCAGCTTGTTACTTTGTGATATATGCAGCTCAGCATCTGTTCTAGAGTTTTGGCATCTTGTGGCGCTGATGAGAACGGCAGACAACAAATGCAAATTTGCAAGTTTGCAAATACACAATATTATTTAGGCAGAAGCTGTAGCAGTATTTGTATTTAAATAAAAACAAGCACGTCCTGTTTTTAAAAATGTGTTTGAACACTGTAATGTTTTATTTGTTTGTAACTATACTGTCAGAATCTTATGCTTCATGCCTACTGCTCCAGCTGGTGCTTAAAGAAAACTGACGGTGTGTGTTTCTGTGGAAATAAGACTGAATCAGGTTGAGAACCAGTTTTCATTTCCAATGACGACCTGGCAGCAACACATGTAGACACAAAACAATGTCAAAACAAAAAACAGCATAAATCAACATTTTTACATGTTATACAAAATACACGAAGATGTATCGTGTATGTATATGATGCATGTGCATGTATATGACTGTTTATGATGCAGTCACGAGATTTGACCAAAACGTCTCAACAGAAAGTCTTAGAATAAAACTCTGAGCGAAATGCTTTCCCTCCAGGAACGATGTGCAGTTTCAAATGTGTTATCACAAATGAAGCCTGAGGGTTGTGTTGTAGCAGAAAGGAGCAGCAGAGGGACATCTCTGAGCCATGTTTGTCTGTCCCATCAGATCCACCTCCAGTTCCCCATGGAGTTTGAGTTTAGTCAGTATTACCTGAAGTTCTTGGCCTATCATCACGTGTCCAACCGCTTCCGCACCTTCCTGCTCGACTCTGACTACGACCGCATCGAGCTGGGTGAGCAGAAGTTGTAGCTCGGTGGTTAATTAAAGCGTTCGCTGTAGAGTTGGTCTCACTGATTCCTCTGTGGATACAGGTGTGCTGTACGAGGAGAAGGCAGACAGGAAGACTCCTCTGGTGTGTAAGTCTGTGTGGGACTACATTGACAGACTGAACAAGAAGACTCCCATCTTCTACAACTTCATGTTTTCTCCTGAAGATGAGGAGGTAAGAGCAACTGTCCTGTTTAGACTAAAGCCTTAAAGAGTGAGAGGAACGAGGTCAAAACAGTGATCGTTTGTCTTCTAGGTGCTTCGGCCATACACCTTCATCTCCAACCTGAAGGTGTGGGACTTCTTCCTGGAAGAGACTCTGTGTGAGGGGCCGTCGTACGACTGGGAGCTAAAAGGCTGGCAGGGGTGCGAGGCGGAGGAGACCGCAGAGAAACCTGACACCAGCGCTCCCAAGTCTCAGCGGCACGTGGTGTGGCCGTGCTACGACAACATGAGCAAGGTGCTGCCCGACGCCATCACCAAGCTGCTGCAGGACCTGCAGAGACTGGAGGCTGAACTTGGCCAGACTTCGGACAAGTGGAAGGAGACATGGGACAAAATCAAGACCACGCAGAGGACTGAGACCAAACTGGAAAGCAAGGCAAGACAAAGGTTTACTTTCTTCACCCACTGGAACATTTGAGTCTCTTTCAGCTTCTGCTGCTGAGGCTCTTTCAAATTATTCTTGAAATTACAGGACTACTTTGCAATTATTTCTTAAAGAAATGCATACCACACATACTTTGCATGTCCAAATGAAAAAATAAAATAACATACTTCCATCTGTTAACCCTCAAGTATGTAATGAAGAGAACTCCCAGCTTCGAGCAAGAGTTAGACATTTTTCTGTTTGCTAAAGGTAGTAGTATAGTTTGCTGCATATATATATATATATATATATATATATATATATATATATATATATAGGAACTCAAAATTGCAGGTAAATAAACAACGTTTAACCTGCAGCGTTTGACCTGCGAGCCATGCAGCTGAGTTTTAAAACCCATGGTCTGTTTTTAAGTGCACAGCTTACAGAACTGTCTTGTTGGCCGTGTACATGGCCCAGCTCACTACACCTCAATGTACCCACCTCAGCTCATTTTGTACCCACCTTGGCAGCCACGGACCTTACTAATCATTTTCCATCTTCCCCCGCAGCCGTCGTTCTCCAGCTCGCTGCTGATGTCATCCAACCTCAGCCACCAGAGACGTTCCCACGGGGTCTGCCTGCAGGAGAGCGGCGTCAGGTCCTCAATGAGTCTCAGCCTGGACTGTGAGGCCCGTGCCACATCCACCCCTGTCACGGGTCGGCAAAGTACCAGTACGCTCTACAGCCAGTTCCAGAGCACTGAGAGCGAAAACAGGTGTGTGTCTGTCCTCACCGAAGGAGAGAACAGGTGTGTGTGTCTGTCCTCACTGAAGGAGAGAACAGGTGTGTGTGTCTGTCCTCACTGAAGGAGAGAACAGGTGTGTGTCTCTGTCCTCACTGAAGGAGAGAACAGGTGTGTGTCTTTGTCCTCACTGAAGGAGAGAACAGGTGTGTGTCTGTCCTCACTGAAGGAGAGAACAGGTGTGTGTGTCTGTCCTCACTGAAGGAGAGAACAGGTGTGTGTCTCTGTCCTCACTGAAGGAGAGAACAGGTGTGTGTCT